AAAAAAAAAAAAAAAAAGACAAGAGGCAGCACTGGAAGCCTGCCTGCCATGAACATGCTGATGGCACCTGGCTGACATCGGCGGGGGGGCAACTCAGAACTCACCCTTCCTCCTCCTGCCTGAAAAGGCATTTCACTGAAAAATGAATATAATCAAAACGATAGTGGTAGGGACTCCCCGAAACCAACCCCATCCCCCCAACCCCCCCATTCAGTTCCTCTCCAAAGATCTACTGATTCCCAACCCAAGAGGAAGACAAGTCCATGAGACACTCTTCCATGAAGCACAGTTTTGCCACAGAATTGGGGGGGGGTGCAAAAGGACCCCAACTGGGCATTGACAAACCTGCATCCATCCTTCCCTAACAGCAAACAACGGCCGGAAACATAGTTCACATTAATGCTTTCACAGCCTGATTTCATTCTCGGTATTTCTTTAGCATGCACACTTTCCTCGCCAGGTACAGCCTGCTCTTAAAATCATTTCTATTGACAGCAGAGAGGCACAGAAATAGGTGAACTCTGACGTCGGTACTGTTTTACAAAAGCAGCTGCATTCTGGGACAAAGGCTTTAACACTGCCTGGAAAATGGGAGGCAAGAATAACTTTAGCCCCTGAAAAGAGCAGCTTCCAGAGCTAACAGCTCTAAGTAAACCCCAAGCAGTTGAAAACTATACTCCAAAAGGAAAACCCCCAAGAACACCTTCAATGTCAGGGACTTGCCTTCTTACTTTTTTCCCTTGAAGGTAGCTTTATTTGGCCCAACATTCTGGTTATGTACAAGTTAGTAAAGTCAACAAAAAAGCCCCAATATAAATATTTTGCAATAATTTTCTTAAACGTTAACAAAAATATTTTAAGGCATAAACCCCTATGCAGGGTCTGTATCCCAAACGTTACTAGTTCAAAGCTGCAGAGAGAACATGAAAATGAAAGAGAAACCCTGGCCCCCGCCCCCCCCCCCCACACACTCATTTTGTTGAGCAAAAGGGAGAAGCTCAGGGAGTTGTACGTCAATAACCAACCTAAATTACTGACATGGCAAAATGTCTAAGGCATAAGTAGCATAGGTAAGAAAAATCAAAGCAAGAGCTTGCTCTTACTTACAGCCTGCTGCTGTAGCACCAAAGGGAGAAACGAGAGGCTCCAACTTAGTTCAAGATCTGGATGTCCACTGCAAACTTCAGTTTACAAAAGTGAACAAAACCCCACAAAAATACCCATCCCCAATGTGAAATTTCTGGTCAGAGGTGTTCTGAAAATGGCGTCTTGGGTGTATTTTATTACAACTATTGTTTGTCAGCCGATCTCTGGACTTGGTTACCTAGCACTGGAAAAAAAAGCAGTCTTTTTTAAAATTACCATAAGGTAGCAAGGAAATCAGGTTCCCCAAATCAGGCACTTTTTCCCAGAGCTATGGAGGGGGGGCTAAGCTTTTTGAAACAGCTGAAGGGGAGAAGATGCCCCGCTTCCAATACAGTTCAGTGCATCCTGGAAGACTAAGTCCATTAGGCTTCTTGAAAAAAAGGATGTTTGCAAAGTCAGATCTCAAAAAAACTAAAAAAAAAAAAAAGAAATCCTACCCATTTGTGGATGGAGAATGGGCAACTCCTTTGTTACTTAAAACTATCAGGGAAAAAGTCTTTTACGGATGACTGCATGAATAGTAAGGACTACAAGGCAGAAGGAGTCTCTGCACCTTGATGATGGGAACTTCTGAAGACTGAAGATAAACTAGTTTTGAATACTGTAGATTGAGGAACAGTTTGAATACCAGCTGGTCAAAAATATTGTTAAAAAATTGAAATATTTAATCTACTTCCCTCATTCCCAAGTTACATATATAGGAGACTACTTTCTCTATGTAACGCAGGTTTTTAAAGACATCCTTTGGCTCGCGTGTCCTGCAACACTACTCTACGGCCTCTTCCTCCACCACAAGGAAAGCATTTATTGCTATTCAGCGCTGGGACACGTGTACCCTAAGCATGACTTGAGCTGATGAGATGTATCCAGACCAAGAATGGCTGAGTAATGCTGCCAGGGATCACAAATCCTAGCAGACCTGACACAGTTTAGAGAAAAGTCCAGCCAGGCAAGTGTGTCAAAGTTACCATGGGCTCATGACAATGAAAGGCAGCATCACTGACCAGAGCTTTTGTTTTGTGCGGGGCTGAGAGTGACAGAGACAGATGGAAGAATTAACCAGGCTGAATGTGGTATTCTGAAGTATGCAGATTTTTATTCACAGAAGACAAGGTCATTTACAACTTGATTCAAAACTGCAGACGGTTTGTACAAGTGACTGAATTTTCTCCTCTCACTGGGGTAGGCTGAAGGACCCTCCAAAAAAAAAAAGAAAAGGCTCAGAGTGAGCAATGGGGCAAAATGCCCATACAGATTTCAGTGGGCAAACTAAGGCAGCCCTTTAAATGCCCAGCCACAAAAAAAAAAAAAAGCACACAGCAGACAGTGCAGTTCATCTCCCAACTGCTCAGCTCTCTGAAGTCTCTCTTCAGATAAAAATTACAGAACTTCTCATCATGTCATTTGATCTTGCTATTAAGGCTCAGACATTGTAGTTCAATAAGCAGTTCTGGAAAAGCAGCTTTGAGGGACAGAAAGGAAAAGATCTCATTGCTTTGGCTAACCCAGGGCCCCCATTTTAAATTGGCTGCTCTGCAGAATTGACAACAGAAATGCAGGATCAGCTCAAATGGAGCCAATTAAGAGACAAAACCTGAATTTAAAACCTGCCTCCCGCCCCACCAAGGAAATGCCTTGCAGGCTCAGTTCTTTCTTCTTTTAAAGACAGTTTGTAACTTCTTCCTCCAGTTGGGAAGGCTGGGGGGCAGAAGGGCCTTCCACTCCCTACATACATCATTGCGCAGTGCTCCAAAACCTCCATTTTCATCACACACACCCCAGCATAGTGGTGGCTGCCTGAGTCTGCAGACAACCTGAAAAGTAACTCAGTGAAGTGGCAGACAAATCTAAAGGTAATGGAAATCTTGATATCAACTTTCACTGCTGGAGTGATCAGCAGTGATACAACCGCACCCTTCAAAGAAGCTAAGCTGCCTCCCATGCTTTCCTCAGACCAAGTCCCCATTGTCTCCTGCCCTGGTGGAAAACAGCTCCAAATTCACCGTACACTTCTGCATCACTGATTTAAGACTCCACGTGGAGAAGAAGGAACACATGGGGAGGAAGCAAAATAAGTTGACTGCCCAAATAAGAGCAGGGCTTACCGTACTGATCGTCTTATTTGCTTTCGCATACTGCCACTGTCACCTCTGTGTTTAATTCAAAAGAATGCAACAGGATTTCAAGGCTGGTGCCAGAGAATTGAGAGATGGTACCAGGTCCAGTTTGCTGTCTGATACACAGGGCTTTGCCAGGTTTTTGACTCAAGGCCGTCTTGAAGGTCAATAGGTTTAAGAGACAGCATTAAGTCTAACTCGTATTAGGGTCAAATGAGCTTGTTTTAGAACATATTCTAAGCAAGAGCCACTGTCTTAAACCTACCGTCTAGGCTCTTTATTGGAAAGATGTTTACTTCTGCTAGTGAAGGAGCCAGAAAAGCTCTTTTCTTTCTCGCATGATCTTCTGGAGCAAGACTCCCTTGGCCCAAAGCCATCTTTTCCTACAATCAGCCATCAACAAGGAAAAATTTGGGTGGGGGTGAGGAGGAAAAAAGCATGTTTGTTCAAGCAGCCCCACCTCTCAGCCTGTTTTCCAGCAACAGAGGCAAAGTGCTCTGCACCGTGGAAGGACCTGCAGGGACTGCTGCTGACCAGGCTGGAAAGGCAAAGATCACAGCTGCATGCTGCTGAGGCAGACTCACACCCCAGATTTGCAGCCCTGCTGTCAGGGTACCAGACACACAGGTGAATGCCATCTGAACACAAACACAGAAGCACTGATGTAGTTACTGCTGTCGTGCCCTTCTGACCGTAATGAAAGCCAGCCTTCTGCCACTGGGTTCAAGCCTAAAGCCACTCAATCAACTAGGTAGGCTGAAGTCACTCATTAGACCGCCGTTAGCAGCCATGAGCAATGACCTGTTTCTCGTGGAGGTCAAGCAATCCCTGTTTAATGCAAAATGGTCCATAAGTGTAAGGACTAAAGAAGAAGTGAAACTAAAATCGCTGCTCCGTTAGAAGTGCCTACAAAGCTTGTTAATTTTCCTTCCATAGCAGCGTTTGCCATTCATACAATTCATTACTGTTCAGTTGCTGCGTACTACTGTGGCAATACATTACTTTGTATAAACCCTGGGGGAACGTCCAGATGAGAGCGGATGTGCGGTATGCAGTACCGCAGACCTGTCTGTGGTACCGCACATGCACGTGTCCTCCATGCTACCAATTAGCACTGGGGGGCGAGGGGAGGGTTGACCCTGGGAGATCCCAGGACCAAAAAAACCTGCACCTAAAAGAGTGGGATGGTGCATGTGGCAGCTGCCATCCAAAACCAGAGCCTGGCAGCTGCAGCTCTCAGAGGCCCCTAGGACCCCAAGTAAGGCTGCTGGGGCCAGCACAGTTGCTGGCCCATGCCACCCCACCCCAGCCAGGGCAACGGGCCGCATGCCAGAGCACATGTAGCATTCTCCAGGGACAAGCAGGAGCAACAGCAGACATTGTGCCACTGTTATTTGTCCCTGGGAAAAGGCATGTTTCCATTCATTGGGGTGCACCCTGGGAGGTCAAAACCCACCAGCTGAGAGTCACTTGGCTCAATTCACAGATCACAAGACAAGCAAAGATTGCATGCTCCACTCCCTCGTTCCCTCCACACCCTTACTCCTTGAGTAATCCTGCACTTGCCCAGGGAATTAGACTAGATGACCCATGAGTTTCCACCCAACCATTTGA